TTGCAGTTAAAGTAAGTTTATTTTTATTAGTGTGAATGTTTTTATTTTGCGCCGTCAGATCGGTGATTATTTTCATTACCCACCCCGCCTACATACCTGATCCCCACCCCAACCTCACCTATACCTCGTTTACCCCCCACCCCCACACCCCATCCTTCCCTTAGCCTCTCACCTACCCACTCGTCTTACCTTTTGCTTAATTAGTACAGCTCCCACGCCATTTTTTCTTTTTACTCTCGCTCTTACTTTAACAAACTACTAATGACTCTCACAAAACATCTAAGTGTTCTATTTTCTACTCGTGTGCTATACTCTGACTTACGTATTTCATAACTCTCACCTGTTCACTTACTCAACTTGTCTACTCACCATCATGCAGCCACATACGCACATAGTCTCACACAAGAATTATATGCGTGAAGATAATCAACTTGCGCCAATCGTGTATTCTTGCCTTGCACTACGTGCTTATCATGCATATGTTGTCTTGAGAAAGCATATTTGATGTAATGAGTCGCTCCAGAAACTATGAGGACTGCATTACCTATTTTCATTATTGCTTCCCTTGAATAGCTGTTGTTGACGTGTGATAGACATTTCAATGAAATGAGATAGAACATTTACTTACTTACTATTAGTCAGACGCATACTGTATGCACTATTGCACTGCACACTGCTGAACCCTGCATTGTTGCATTTTCATTTTTTCCAAGGAAGTTAGTCGTTCAAGACGTTCTTGCAAACTGCGACACCTTTTGCTTCCTTGTAGTTCTGCACAATGCCTATCTCGTAGATTTTCATGCTATCTGAGACAATTGAAACTCAAGCAAGTTCTTGTGGACTATTGCAGTTGTCTCCCTAAGCATGCTCCTCTGTCTATCCTTGACAGTGAATTAATGAAAAAAATCATGCAAATAACTGAAATAACGCTCATTGCAATCTGATATATTTTGATTATATAGTACGCCCCTTGATATCACACAACCCTCCCCCACCCCACTGTTTGCCCTCCTGTGTCTCTCCCTGCCTCTGCCCCTGGTGTACTTCTTTCAAAGAACGCCAGCACCAGCCGTCGAGGATGACGGTTAATAGCGTATGCCGAGCGATCAGAGGAACCAGGGTTAACTAGCCACGTCCCCAGCGCTAACTACCGACCCTGTTCTTCAATGCTTCGACACTTGCCAGGGTCAGCCTCCAGTTTAGTACAGTGGTAACCGGGCGGTTGGCGTTCGCCCTGCCCAGGCGCGAGAAGTTGCAATTGTCGCTCGGAGGTTACAGCTGTGGCTGGGCCACACGGGGGTAAGGACTAAGCTCTGTCGCGTCAGCACTCGCTGACACACGTTATCGAGTCGACATTAGTCGGCACAGGCCGGGCTCCCCCATAGCCTGGGCGAGGCTTAGCTTCGCATATCGGACTTATCCTTATGACCCTAGGTCACAGGCTCATCCAGACGGCTTCCTCTGGGAGTCTCTTTCCACGCGCACACCCGCTCGGCGCGCTTTCTGGCTCCCCTCGCCTGGGACTTGTATCAGCACGAGACAATGCCACGCTACACTACAGTACCACCTCTTCAGAATAAACAGCCAATGCAGAACTTGTGTCTCCATAACACAAAAGTCAGGGGAAACAAAACCTTACAGGGAGAGAGAGAGAGGCAAAAAAGAAGAGAAAGATAGGAATAAAAGAGAGACAGGGGAGGAGGAGGAGAGAGGGAGGCAGGAGAAGAGAGGAGAAAAAAATGAGAGGAAATAGGAAGAAAGCGAGAGAGAAAGGGGAGGGGGAGGGAGAGAAAATAGATAGAAAGGGAGTGAGATAGAAAGTGTATCAGAAAGGTAGTGAGTGAGTGAGAGGGTGAGAAGAAAGAAAGAAGAAAAAAGAGAATGACAAGAGAAGAGAAAGAAAGTATAAAAAGATAAAGAGAGAGAAAATAAAGAAAGATAAAGAGGAGAGAGGAGATTGATAAAGAGAAAGATAGAGAGAAAGAGAGTGGGGAGATAAAGAGAACGAGAGATAGATAAATTGAGACAAAATGAGTAACAGAGGGAGAGAGAGAGAACCTGAGAGAGGGAGGTAGGGGGGGGGCAGGAGTGAGAGAGGACAGGGTGTGTATGAGTGTATGTGTGCGTGTGTGTGTGTGTGTTGTGTGCACAAGTATATATTAGGCGATGAGAATTAACACGTATGTATGATTCGTTTCGTTCATCTGGGAAGCACTTTATCTTGTGCTAAATAACAGTTTGCGCTATCAAGATCCTACAAGCCATGGCGTTTCTATGCGGAGATGCATCCACACTCGAACAGCATAGCAAGTAAATACACGTTTGCTTATTTCAACTCAAGCAACTAAGTTAAATGGTTGAAGGAAGGAAATAAATTTATTCCCTATAAGGATTTATGATATCTGGCATCTTATATGTTTCCATACTGATTCTGAAATACTTTTTCCTCGTATGAATTGACAAATTAGTAGATCATCCAATTTTAGGATAATTGGTTGCG